AGAGAGAGAGAGAGAGAGAGAGAGAGAGAGAGAGAGAGAGAGAGAGCCACAGGGTATCAGCGAGTGTTGCTGTGCGCCACGGCATGGCCGTGACTGGGTCCACTTGTTCAAAGTAAAGGGAAGAGACTGCAACGAAGGCTCAAAGTTCACACCTTCATAATATTGTCCTGTTAGTCATCAGGGCTGCATCTTCCTCAAAATTTTGTAGTGTGCTAGTCATACTTATGTTGCGCCATGTCTAGAGAATGTGTACGCCTGAGGTGCACTGCGCTGGTGCACTCACCCCCTCCTCCCCGAATTCCCCACGAAAGAGTGTTTGAAATTCTGCAATGTTAAGAAGGAAAAAAAAATTGCATGCAAGGTTTGGCTGGACCAGCTCTCCATAGTCTTCTTGGTGAGTTTGTAGACACCAAATAATTTGAACCACCGCTACCTTTCACAGGCAAGCTACAAAGTCCACCTTGTAGGCTGCAAGTTGAAATTCCGTACTTCGGGGCAGGCACGGCACCGGTCGCTGTGACTGTGAAGAAAAGTGACATGAGAAAAACAAAAACAAAACAAAGGAACTGACAGCTACAACATCATTGTGCCCTCTGTGAGGGCATCTGTCTGAGACACAGCAAAATAAGCAAAACAAAAAGAACAACATCCCTTACACCGTACCCAAGAGCCTAGCTCAGTGGGTACACCATTGAACTGTCGAAATACAAACCCGTGTTCGAACCTAGATGATGGAACTTGATGAGTAAAACCAAATACTTCTGAGTTGCTTGGGGCCGGTCAGCTCAATGATGATATCTCAAGACCGTCGCCAAAAAAAAAGAAAAAGAAAAAAAGAAAACACCGTGATCGCGGTTTTAATAAATAATTATAAAAAAAATTTACAAAAGATGAAGTGAAATGTTGAAACTGAGAGGCGGGCTTGGGCAAGGGGGAAGAAGAATAGGAACAATTTGAACATTAGGAAGAAGTGTACGGTGCAAGAGGCGGACAAAGAGAAGGATGCAATAGAGACTGTGCAGTGGAATATATTAATAGAAGTCCGGAACTGAGAGCCAGGCTTGAGTGAGAAGGAAGAACAGAGAGAGGATCAAGCTTATCATGATACTTGAAAGGATGTTTGAGGAAAAGTAACGGGAAAGAGGAGGAGAATCGGGTGGTGGATGAAAGGAGGGAGGGGATTGCAGAATGCAGCTGGGGCAGCGTGACGACCTAGAAAGGAGGGAGGAGGAATAGGTGTGATGAGAGCAGAAGAGGAAGGGAATGGGGTCACAAATGGAGGAAGGGAAGTGAGAAGGTGGAGGAAGAGGTCTGGAGATTAATAGAAAAGAAAGAAGGGAAATCATGACTCGCTGAAAACAGCACTCCCGAAGCAAAGAGAAAGAATCTGAAAGACAACAAACAAACGTGCTCGGTGTGCTGTGGATGGGATTTGGATGTGCGGAACATGCAGGCTTATGCATCCAATGCCTGCCGTAATGGTGACTCTGAGAATCGGAACTCACATAAACACCCCAACGAAATGAACAGAGTTGTCGACGCTTTGATTTTCTGGACTGACTCAAATGACAGAAACCGATTGCAGAAACCAAGAGCGAGTGGTAACTGAGTCTCAAGTCTCTTAGCTGAAATGACAGAAAGAAAAGTAGTCATGTGAAATCCAACTTCAATCTCCCCTCCCCCCTCTTCCCTCCCTTCCTTCTGATGGTGGTAGACAGCAGCGTTAGCATTGAGCAGCCTTTCAGCAGCTGAGTCTCCCACTTGCAGAGGTAGCTCTTTTTGCACATGCCTGGCCCTGTGCGTATGGGGAAGGATTTATATGCTACCGTCTTTACCCAAATACAACGTACGGTCATTATTGCTGTATCTATACGACGAGTGCCCCAAATGCAGCTATAATGACCTTACGTTGTATCGGGTGAAGCGGTCATCTGGGAGGTTCCTGTGACTCGTAACCAATACAGGGAAAACTGTAGACCGGAACAGAAGGGAGGGAGGGAGGGAGAGAGAGAGAGAGAGAGAGAGAGAGAGAGAGAGAGAGAGAGAGAGAGAGAGAGAGAGAGAGAGAGAGAGGACACTAGGCAGGATTAGGGAGAGCCCTGCTCGAGCTGAATGTACAGTCCGGCAGCACTGTTTGTGGTCAGGCACGAGCTGAATGTACACATATTCTGGCTAGGTCCTACTTCCGTCTGTGGGTAATCCATGTTCATTGTTCAGTCCTTTATCTTCTGCGAGTGACTTTTATGAAAGACTGCAGGCTTTTGTTGTGTTTGTGGTGCTGTACTGCACTGCCCTATACATGCGATGGTTTGGAATTTGTATGCAGCATTCATTAGATGATTGTCCTCTTGCTGCGCATGGTCTAAAGTGAGGCTTCTGCAAATGGATGTGTGGAGCACACATACACCACGTCAAAAATGAAAAGTCAGCTTGTATTTCTTGTCTGTATTATTTCTTCTCATGTTTTCGTTCATCCTGCTTCCAAAATTCCAGACTTGTTCGGTACAAGTGCTCTCTGGTTAATCTTGATGTGGATGTCACAACACATGAAATGGCAGGTGGCATGGGTTACGAAATCTGGAGACACTGATTTGGAGATGCCAATTGCGGTGCGGCCAACCAGTGAAACGGTTATGTACCCCAGCTATGCGAAGTGGATCCGCAGCCATCGAGATCTCCCACTCAAAATTAATCAGTGGAACAATGTTGTGAGATGGGAGTTCAAACACCCGACACCGTTCATCAGGTACGTGTTTTCTCCTTAGTGAACTGAGGACAGCAACTTTAGCCAATATATTAGTCTGCCAGGCACTAGTAGCCTGATAGTAGTAGTTTGGGAACCTATTGTGTGTATGTATGGTGTGACCCAGGCCCACTCAAATTTAATCAGTGGGACAGTGTTGCGAGATGGGGGTTCAAACACCCTACCCTACATCCTTCATCAGGTACGTGTCTTCTCATTGGTGAACTGGCCCACAACAAATTGGCTTGCACCACCAGAACCATTCCTAAGAGTCCAAGCCATTACTCGCTGACTTAGAGAATCATGTCGTTCAGCCACTACATAATCGAGTTCGTTATCCTCATTCGTTCCGACTTTTATCTCCCGAGCTGGCCTCGGAGGTGCGAGCCTCCTGTTGCTCTGTTTGACCAAGTGCTTTTCCACGCGCATTTCGGCACAACAAATTGGCTTGGAATACCTGATAGGACTAGTCTGGAAACCTGTTGGGTGTATGTTTGGAAGGTACACAGGGGCAAGGTGTTTGTTGCTTATTTTTCCATTTTTTTTGGCCCGATGGACTGCTTGAGAACGGGATATCGGTTGTTATTAAATTTGTTGGGTGTATGTATGTTGCATCGTACTGCATACCCAGTGCCAAGCATAGTCGGCCGGAGAGAGCTTAGTCATCAATGGCCTTTCCTATATCTGATGAACTGCTTGAGAACAGGAAATTGGTTGTGATTAAACCACTGGTACATTGAGAAGCACGAATGAGCCCCTCCACAAGTTTGGGAACTCGGGACAGGGCCCGCCTGGGGCCGGATGGAAATTGTTTTTTTGTTCACTGCCGTGCCTGGTCCCACCCCAAGGCACGGGACAATTTGTTTTTCCCCACCTGCCCTTCTGAGGTCCTATCCCCGAGCTTCCGAAGTTTTAGGAGAGGCTCAATCGCGATTCTCAACTTGGCTGGGGCCGTTTACTGGTGGTTTAAACCTGTTGGGTGTATGTATAGTCTGTCAGAGATTAACCAGTTCTCAAAGGCATTCCCTATATCTGAACAAAATTCACGTTTTTCCAATGCCATACTGGTTCTGGTCTATGTGAACATTGCAATCTTCAGCTCTCTTGCATGGGGCAATCCTATATGCGTCTCCTCTTCTTCTGTCATTATGAACTTCTTTGTAGAAGATGACAATGCCCCCATCTTCCGTGCCACTGATCTGCTATGGTGATTCAAAGTAAACGGGGTCTCTCTCCTCTTGCAGAAAGCTTCCTTCGTTGGTATTCTATGGAGATCATAAAATCAACGATGAATGATTCGTTTTTATGACTATGTTTTCTGATTGTTGGTTGCTTTGTGTTGCCTCGTCGGGCACACTTAGTTTCTTGCTCCAAACATGCTTTTGATAGCTGGGGGTGTGAAAAACCCGCGGCTGTTCTTCCCTTTTCATTTCTGAAACTTCAGCAAGATTACAGCGACTTGCATTGTGCAAGGTATAGTGTGATCTCAGTGGGGTGCCCCTTCCTTCCGTTCTTCCTTTGGGAAACCTGTTCTGTCTCTCACACACACACGCAGACAGACAGACAGACACACACAGAGAGAGAGAGAGAGAGAGAGAGAGAGAGAGAGAGAGAGAGAGAGAGAGAGAGAGAGAGAGAGAGAGAGAGANAGAGAGAGAGAGAGAGAGAGAGAGAGAGAGAGAGAGAGAGAGAGAGAGAGAGAGAGAGCAGTGTAGAAAGAGGAGGAACACATTTCTTATGCCTTGTAATAAATGAAGCCTTACACCACCGGTACTTGATTCTGCTTTATTCCACTTGTTGCAATGCATACAGGAGCCGGGAGTTCCTATGGCAAGAGGGGCACACTGCTTTTGCAACTAAGGAGGAAGCTGATGTGGAGGTATGGTGGCATGTCATCTCCTGCAGTGATACAACACAGAGACACCCATTGCCTCTGTCGCTGAGAGTTTTTGTGAATGGACTTGGTGACGTCCATACCTGTTTGTGTGTGTGTGTGTGCGCATGCGCGCGTGTGTGTGTGTTGTGTGCAGTTAGTGAGTTCAGAGTAGTGCAATGACCGTGTCTTCTGGCTGTTTGTTTTCAGGTGCATCAAATCCTTGATTTGTACCGCCAAGTGTATGAGGATTATCTTGCTGTCCCTGTAATTAAGGGGATCAAGAGCGAGAAGGAAAAGTTCGCTGGAGGATTATACACCACAACTGTTGAGGTATCTCCCATGGCTCTTTCCGCACCTTCCATTCTCTCCTTGCATCATGGTGCCCTCTGTGGACTATGCTAGAAGCCTAAGAAGCGACCATGTGCAAATTGTTTCCATGTCCTGATAATCATAGACAGAGTTTTCAGTGAGTGTTATCTGCCTGTTTGGTGTCCCCTACTGCATTCCATGGCGTTGAGAGGGTGGGTGTCATTCATAGCACCACAGTGCCATTCTGGGGCAGGCTGTGCAGCTGTGCAAGGTATCCAAAGGCCAGAGCTGTTATCTCACTTGAGCTGAACGTCTGGTGCTCATGCACTCCTGCACATGCCTTCGTAGCACATGCCTTCGTAGCACAGCCTCTGGTCACTGCCTAGTCTGGAGGTAAGTATTCAGTGGTAGGGTCTGGAAATATGCATGGTACACAAAGGCTATAACTGTATGACGGCAAAGTTCAAGCCTTTAGACTCTCATTGGTGTCATGGACCCTACCGTCTTCACCCAAATAGAATGCCTGGTCATTATAACTGCATCTGGGGCAACTCTCAGTCTGGATATGCTGATAATTGCTGGGCATTCTATTTGGGTGAAGATGGTAGTAGAGATCCTGTTGACCCGTTGACAATCTATAACCTTGACGGCCCTTGGGTATTTGGGCCTATGGCTATAGTTGTGCTCATCACCTACTTACAGACCATATGGAGAGCCTATGGAATGCTCTTCCCGATGGTTACGATAGGATGGCCCACCATTTGCGGACTAAACTGAGGAGAGAATAGCCCAATCTCTGACCTTCAGTTGCTGGTTTAACCTTGTCAAAGCAACAATCTTGCTCTGGCCTACTGCAGTCTGAGTGTACAGCGCTTCGGTCCGAGTGGTCAAGCCCGATCGAACTATATATATGACGATATATATGTATATCAATGATTGTCTGTGCTGTTAAAGATGATGGCCGTTATGGCGTCACCTGAAATCCACTCTTCGAGATTCAATGCCTGTTATTTGTCATCACAATTTTTTCATGTCATCTTTACATTCCTCTACAGAGACCTACCGTCTTCACCCAAATAGAACGCCCAGTCATTATAGCTGTATTTGGTGCAATTTTCAGTCCAGATACAGCGATAATTACCGGACGTTCTGTTCGGGTGAAGACAGTAGGCATGATCTATCCGTAATGAGGACCAGGTCTGACTGGGGTGCTGTTCTTTGTTGTAAACTAGTGCAAATCTTCCTGTTCCTGTTTGTAGACAAGGTTTCTGAGGTTTGTGCTTTCGTAAAGTCTCTTTCTATAAACATAGCTCCAGTGATGCCTGAACCTCACTCTTGCTCAACCTCCTGGCCTGCTGCTTCGTGTATATGACCGCTTTCGGTTATGTTGTGCGCCAATAGTCCTGCCTACTCTAGGGGTTTTACTGCTTCTGACCAATCGGACGCTTGAGGTCAGGGTCTTACTCTGTATCTGCCTACTGAACTATTCTCAGAGTACCCAGGCAGATCACACACACACGCAACACTCAGACAGACACGCAGAAACCAGCAAGCACACACACACACACACAGACTTAGAAGTCACAGCAGAAAGCAGGAATCTCAGAAAAAGCACTCTTCCAGCGGCAAGACTCAGAAAACAGCATGGTTCTCAGTCTAGGATTTAGGAATTTGCAGCTCCTTACATTACCTATCAGTCCAGATAGCCGCCACCCTTGGTAATGTAATTGCAGTGATCTCTTGCAGTGTGAAATCCCGCAGGCGCCAAGCTCTTAACCTGGGAGTGAGAATCCTCTATATCCCCCACCCTACTAAAGTTTTCCAGCCTAGGGCCGCCTAAATGGCCCTGACTGGTGTGTTTTGATGTCGATTGGTGCATGCTGGATGGTCTGGAAGTCAGCAGTGTCCTACCCCTGTATGGCTGCCACGTTGTGGTGAGTGGGATGCACGATTTCCAGGCGTTGGATGTGAATGAAGATTGTGGACTTTGAGACATTGGATGTAAAATTTTAGTCCGTTGATCGCGTTGGGCCATCGGATGTGCTCGTGTGTCGGTGGTATGTTGTTTTTTGGTTTTGGTTTTGGTTTTGGTTTTGGTTTTGGTTTTGGTTTTGTTTTCGCTTTGTTTTTGTTTTGTTTTTGTTTTGTTTTCGTTTTGTTTTCGTTTCGTTTTCGTTTCGTTTTCGTTTCGTGTGCGTTTCGTTTTTGTTTCGTGTTCGTTCCACGTTCGTTCCGCGTTTGTTCCGCGTCCGTTTTGCATCCGTTTTGCGTCCGTCTTGCGTCCGTCTTGCTTCCTTCTTGCTTCCGTCTTGCTTCCGTCTTGCTTCCGTCTTGCTTCCTTCTTGCTTCCGTCTTGCTTCCGTCTTTGTTTAGTTTTTGTTTTCGTTTTCGTTTTCGTTCTCGTTTTCGTTCTCGTTTTCGTTTTTGTGAGGATTGAGCCCTCAAGTAGGGGCCTTGCCATGATGTACATGTTCTGGGCTAAGGCCCCAGCAAGCCTAGTGCCCGCCCTAAGTGAAGGCGCCAGCAAATCGACAAGAGCCCTCTGTGCAACATTTCACGAAGTGGGGTTCATACAGTTGCAGCATGCCAGTTGGTTGGAGTGCACCGAGTCTCGGATTTCAGCAAATGCTGAAAGCCCAGGGCCTCTGAGTTGGTTAGGCCCTGGGCATCTCAACGTGAGGCCGACAATGCATGCTGGGAAGAGAGGCCGAAAATGCCAAAGGGAAATCGGCCCACTGTCTGAATCTGGCCGCAGGCCTTGATGAAGGAGGCGCAACTGCCTTACCCCGGGGCCCAACTGTATCGAGTTGGCTTCAGCCTCTGGGCCCCGGTCACAGGCTGAAGGAAGGCCGCCCACACACTGCACTGGCATATAGGCAAGCAGGGCGAGGCAGCGAGCATCTTGGCCAATGCTGGCATATGCTGGCACGCTGCGCAGATGCAAGTGTGCTGCGCTAATGCAGAGCAGCGCTGCGCTAAGAAGAAGCAGGGCAGCGCTAGGCGGTAGGGCGCTGCCTGCTTGCAGAGCACTGGCGGCCATAGCCGGGCCGCAAGAGGGTGCAGGGGAGGTGAGGGCGAAGGTGGTACTTCGGAGGTGAAGGGAGCTGTGTGGGTAACAAGGGAGAGTGTGGGGAAGATGACGCGTACCTGGTGATGGTGGAGGTCTGCATTGGTGTTGACATCATCACTCGCTGGTAGTCAAGTTGTCTGGTTGCTGTTCATTGCTGTAGTTGTAGGATAGGCTGTAGAGTACCTGTCTCTTATACACATCTAGATGTGTATAAGAGACAGCTGTTGGGCATGGACATTGACTCACGATTCTTCTGTATCATTCTCAATGGGATGGTTACCCGGTTCCATGTGCTATCTGCTTTGGCTTTGAATACTTGGACTTCAGTGTGATTTTGCATTCCGGATTTCTGTGCTTCGTCCATACTCATGTTCCTTGCATTTTCGTTTTTGTTCTGTTTTTGTTCTGTTTTCGTTTTGTTTTCGTTTTGTTTTCGTTTTGTTTTCATTTTGTTTTCGTTTTGTTTTTGTTTTGTTTTTGTGAGTGCTGAAAGAAGGGCGTGAGATCAAATCCAACGCGGTCCTCTTGGAGAAAATAAAAATGGGGCATGTCAGTGTTCGTGTGTCAGTGGTATGTTGTTTTTTCGTTTCGTTTTCGTTTCGTTTTCATTTTGTTTTCGTTTTGTTTTCGTTTTGTTTTCGTTTCGTTTTCTTTTTGCTTTTGTTTTGCTTTTGTTTTGCTTTCGTCTTGCTTTCGTGTTGCTTTCGTCTTGCTTTCGTCTTGCTTTTGTCTTGCTTTCGTCTTGTTTTCGTTTCGTTTTTGTTTTGCTTTCGTTTCGTTTTTGTCTTGCTTTTGTTTTGCTTTTTTCGTTTCGTTTTCGTTTCGTTTTCATTTTGTTTTCGTTTTGTTTTCGTTTCGTTTTTGTTTTGCTTTTGTTTTGCTTTTGTTTTGCTTTTGTTTTGCTTTTGTTTTGCTTTCGTTTTGCTTTCGTCTTGGTTTCGTCTTGCTTTCGTCTTGCTTTCGTTTCGTTGTTGTTTCGCTTTCGTTTCGTTTTTGTTTTGCTTTCGTCTTGCTTTCGTCTTGCTTTCGTCTTTTGCTTTCGTTTTGTTTTCGTTTTGTTTTCGTTTTGTTTTCGTTTTGTTTTCGTTTTGTTTTCGTGAGTGCTGAAACAAGGACGTGAGGTCGAATCCAACTCGATCCTCTTGGAGAAAATAAAACTGGCTGGTAACGCTTTGGACTCCAAAGTTTGCGATGGCCTTTTGCTGTGAGACGTTCGATGTAGATGTGTTTCGCAAGACGCTCGATGTAAAATTGCTGGCACTTCTTGCGGTGTGTCATGCGTTGAATGTTGTCAGACAAACTTTTTTTTTTTTTTTCCCGCCCGGTCTCCAAAGAGGCCCCTTTACCTTTGTACGGCTGGTGGGGACCTCAGTGGGGCGTTTGCCAGGCCATCGATTTTGAGCAGAATAAACCTGGGCCTACCCCAGTTGGCACACCCATGAACTGTTGAAATGCAGACCGGAGTTCGAATCCAAACGGAACGGAGAGCATTGGAACCGCAAACCGCAAGTGGACCCTAGGCGACTGAACTAAGGGCCTCGTGCTTCTCAACATGCAAAACTGCCCTACATGATCTGTTCTGTGCCACCTAGCTACGAGGGCCTATAGCGCTACCTGCCACTGTAGCGTTGCTGTAGCACTACCTAAGCGCTACACAGAGGTCTCTCTCTCTCTCTCTCTCTTTTCGTCCCTCCCTCCCTCCCTCCCTCCCTCCCTCCCTCCCTTCACGATCTGTCCTATAAGCTGACGCGGGCGTGGTTGCGCTTGTCCATCTTGTGTGGAGTCAAAAGTTCTTTGTGTGTACTGCCCTGCTACAGGACAAGTACTTGATAAATGCATCGACTGTCCTGTTATCTTAATTGTCTGTTTTATTTGTAATGTTTTTGCAGGCGTTTGTGCCATCGACTGGGAGGGGGATTCAGGGTGCCACGTCACATTGTTTGGGACAAAACTTCGCAAAGATGTTTGATATTACGTTCGAGAACAAGGACAAGGAAAGGGTGATGGTGTGGCAGAACTCGTGGGGGCTAACAACTCGGACGGTAAGGATGTGCGGGCAGTGTCTTCCACAACACAGTCTGAACGCTTTGACACTTTTATAGTTGGATAGTATGGATACACAATAATAACGTGCGTCATTATTTTGACAGGCATCCAGGGCCGCCTACCCTCTGATGTGTATGGATAATTTCTCTTGTTAAACCCCTTCGGTGCAGAGCAGTACCGGCCTGTAATATGTGAGGGATCGCTGTATGCCATGGGGTCGTTTTGTCGTCACTCCGCGCAGAGCGTGGGGTATTTCGTGTGCTTCTGCCAATTGGATTTTGGTTTTGATGGATGAGATTGCTGGATTGTGCTTTTTAGTGTTGGTAGGTCACATCGCAGGAAGCGCTGTGTAGACGACACGTCGCCTGTTTTTTGTTGTGCCTCATCGCGCTGCACTCTCTTTTTTTTGCACTGCACTTTCTTTCTCTCTGCTCTCTCTCCTTGTTTCACTCTCTCTGCACTGTGATCTCTCTCTCTCTCTACACTGCGCTCTCTCTCTAGAAACTCCTGAACTGCTGTGTCTCTCTCTCTCCCTCTCTCTCTCTCTCTCTCTCTGCAGAAACTCCTGAACTGCTCTCTCTCGCTCTCAATCCCTCCCTCCCTCTCTCTCTCTCTCTGTGCACTGCACTCTCCTTCCGTTTCACTCTCTCTCTACGCTGCGCTCTCTCTCTGGAAACTCCTGAACTGCTCTCTCTCGCTCTCCCTCCCTCCCTCCCTTTCTCTCTCTCTCTCTATGCACTGCACTCTTCCGTTTCACTCTCTCTCTACGCTGCGCTCTCTCTCTAGAAACTCCTGAACTGCTCTCTCTTGCTCTCCCTCCTTCCCTCCCTCTCTCTCTCTCTGTGCACTGCACTCTCCTCCCTCTCTCTCTCTCTCTGTGCACTGCACTCTCCTTCCGTTTCACTCTCTCTCTCTCTCTCTCCTCTCTCTCTCTCTCTGTGCACTGCACTCTCCTTCCGTTTCACTCTCTCTCTC